ACGTTTTCTGAATACTTGTTAGTTCCAACTTCCTTTCTAACCAGCTATGAAACCTTGCACAATTTCCAAATGTTTCCCTGATCATGTCGTATTAGCAACAGTTTCCTCCTCTATGAAACTAAGGTTCCGTATTACCTCTGAGATCCTTTCCAAGTCTAAAATTATTTGCTTCTGTGATTTAATTTGTACTGTATGCTTCTTTATTTAGCAGATATCACACATAACATCAAATGTCTCTGTTCTAAGATAAAAACCAATTTCTATTCATGGTCTTGAAGTTACCAAAATAAGGCTTAACTGTATCAGACTATAACTATTAAAAACACATTTAAACCAAACATAACAAGATCTCAAGGAGAGATAAAAGTGGTTTATCCACAATAGTGGTTAAGAATAGTGCTCAGTGATGTGAACAGTGGAGTCTTTTCTTTGTCATTCTGAGTTACTAAATTAAACTCTAATGAAACAGTGTAGTTCATTTCTGATACAGTGCCAGTACAAATGGCTGTCCTATTTAGATGGCATTAGTCAAGACTGATATCAAGATAGGTAACTATAAGACTAGCTTAACATTACTTAACCAACCCATTTTTCAGTCACGGAAGGTATAATAAAATACACTCTGACTTATTCTGTGAACTTTCATTATTGTCATTAACTCTGTTATCAAATCATTGTTTGATTCCATTGTGACGCCTGGAATTAAGTAATTTATATATAATGTGTACAGTGGTGTAAAAAGAAAATATGTATTTTGGAACAAACAGGTCTGAATTTCTGTTTGAGTTTACTAGCTCTGTTATAATTAGAAATTACTTAAGCTTTATAAACCTATGTTTTATATCTTGCAAAATAGGGATAATAGGAACTACCTCATAGGTTGGTTATGAGAATAGACTATAGTAATGTATTTTAAACACTTGAAAGAATGCCTAACTCATAGTAGGTGGTCAAAAAGTGGCATTGATTTATAGTTAAGCATGGATGCTTTAAAGTGATATCATTATAGACAGAAAGTTTGGGAGTTTTAAAATAAAGTATATGTTTATTTATATATAACTTTATATATCTATATGTAGATATATAGATGTATAAAGTGTAAATACACACTTACCACAGGACTCAGCAATTTCACTCTTAGGTATTTACCCAAGAGAAACAAAGTTATATTTCCACAGAAATGACCTATATATAGATATTTACAGCAGCTTTATTAGTAATTGCCAAAGAACTAGAAATCAGCCAAATGTCTAACAGGTAAGTGGATATACAGTTTGTGAGACATTCATACAATTGAATACTACTCAGTGATATAAAAGAATAAACTACCAATACATGAAATAATGTGGATGAATCTCAAAAAATTATGTTTAGGTAAAAGAAGCTAGACTCAAAAGACTGCATACTGTATGATTCCATTTATATGACTTTCCTAAAAAGGAAAAACTATAGGGACAAAAATCACATCACTGATTGCCAGAGGCTGGGTGTGAAAAGAAGGCATTGACTCCAGTGTTGCACAAGGACCATTTGGGGGTAACAAGAATATTCTGTGTCAAGCCTGGATAACTTGGCAAAATTTACAGAACTATGTAGTGAAAATGGGTAAATCTTTACCTTGTATAAATTATGACTCAATAAGTCTGATATTGAAAAGTCCATGTGTGTACTTACGTGCATATATGTTTACTTTGATAAAATTTTACCTAAAATATGACTATAAGAAGAAAAAGTGTTATACTTGTGTAAAATGTTTATACTATAGTAAAGGTATAAACTATTCTTGTAAATAATGAACCCAAATTCATAAAAGTGTTTTTCTTTGGGGCTAGGAAGGAAGAAAGGGATGTGACTGATGAGTGTGATACGTGGAATGGGGTAGGGATTTTTTTTTCTTTTTTAGAAACAGGGTCTCACTTTGTTGACCAGGCTGGAGTGCAGTGGTGCGATCCTAGCTCACTGAAGCCTTGAATTCCTGGTCTCAAGCAATCTTCCTGCCCCAGCCTTCTGAGTAGCTGGGACTATAGGTGCATGCCACCACACCCAGCTAATTTTTAAAATTTTTGTAGAGACGAAGTCTTGCTATGTTGCCCAGGCTGGCCTCAACCTCCTGGGCTGAAGTAATCCTCCCACCTTAGCTTCCCAAAGCACTGGGAAATGAGGCATGAGCTACCATATAGGCATAAGCCACTGTACCTGGCTGAATTTTTTTTTTTTTTTTTTTTGTGAAGCAAAATAGCAATTTTTGGAAAAAGAAATTAAAGCAAGGTGCGTATAACAGTGTGTATAAAGCACTGTCAATTTTGTAAATAGGGATAATTTATTTGCAAGTATCTATATATGCTTATATATGTACGAACTATCTCTGAAAGAAGGTACAACAGACAGATAACTAGTAATCTCAGGAGAAGGGATTTGTAGTACTGAGGGTAGGAGGTGGGGGATTTACTTTATATTGTATATTCTCTTACATTGAGTTTTGTTAGTTTTTGTTTAATGCTTGCATTTATTTTTGCAAGTATACACATAAATGAATGCATGCAGTTTTTATAAAAGTAATTGTCAGAAATATGGGAATAGGATGCCAGAAAGAAAGACAGGAAAAATATCTTGTTTGTTATTTCCTTGATATTTTTGATATGACATTTATTTTTGACCTATAGTATGATAGGATTATATGATATAAATATCAATCTAGGAAATACTATGGAAGTAAATAGCACATTTAAATTGGTTGAGTGTTTCAACAATGCATGCAACAGATACCCAACTCAAACTAGCCTAAGTCACCCTCCAACTTACCCCCCGACAAAGGATTTTATCTATCCTGGAAGTCCAGGAAGCAGATCTGGATCTGTTTTCTGGCATATGTGAATCCAAGGGTAGAAATGGTATCGTCAGGACTCGATTTTCTTCTGGGGCTAGTGGGATGCAGTACTTCAATTAGACAACCTGGATCTTATACCTGAGGTGATGGGGGATGAAATTCACTCTAGACACAGAGACTGAACAAGATCACTATAGCCTAGGGTAAGGTATTTCCCAAAAAAGAAATGCTGCCAGATAAGCATATATCTGATAAAGTAAGGATAGTGTAAAGCCAGAAAGTTTATAGTAGCTTTGAACATAATCACTAGGGCCTAGGAAGAAAATTAGATGCTGGGAATTAAGAAATTGAGTGAACTGTTATAAAACAACACCAAGTCTTCATAGTCAACTAAATGTGGGAGGAGAAAGTGAAATTTTAAATAATACCTTAAGCATGGGAATTTAAACTTATCACAATCCCATTTTCATTATGAAAAATTCTAGGCAAAAACTACATTTTAGTGTTTTCCTACAATAATTTTTGTTTTGTTGGTTGGTTTTGGTTTTGGTTTCTTTGTGCAGGTACCAAGTAAAAGACTTCGAAACAATCATTTTATTTCAGCATTTGTATATATGTAGCACTGGCACATATTTATTTAGTAAAATTTCTATTACCTGTTCAGTATTTGATATTCCTTAAATGCACGTCTGAAGTCTGAAGTTTTTAAAGTTGAATGTGATATGTGTGATTCTTTTTGACCTGCCGTTAGTCACAGTGGGTATCTGTGTCTTCCTAGTTACCATTTTAATCACATTTTATGGTATACTGAAAATTGGAAAAGCTTTCATTCTTTGACATTAAGAATCAGCCATCTATTTTTACTTTAGATGCTTTTCCCTAATTTTTTAGAATGTTTTATCTCTAATTATGGACTATGGCATGTTAAAGCAAGCTTTCAAACATCTTAAATTTAGCTAGAAGGTAACACTTGGATAGAATTTACCAGTTCAGAGAACAAGTTAATCTTAATGCTAAAACTTATATGCAAAGGTCCGAACTGCTGCATGTTTTTAAAATTATCTATTATTAAAATAGAAAAGTGGCACTCTGTAAAGTTCACTTTTATTACATTGATTAATTTTCCTATAATCAGGATTTTACAGTTTTTCATATGACTTCTTACACAATAAAACAATTCCAGTGAAATTATATGAATTCAGCAAAATTCTGAACCTGTGGCTCCAAACTTCTATTACTTTTTAATTGTTGGTGGTTTTCCTACTTTGTGAGGTTTGTGACAACAATTTGCTCTGTGTTACCTTTCAAACGCCACTTAAAGTGAAAGATAACCATTTTATGAAAATTTAACTTTGAATAAACAATACTAAAATCTGACTTACCAGTGCCAGATTTTCAGTTATGTTGAAAACTGTTTTTGGTGTTGTTTGAAATCCAATGGGAATGATGGTGGGAGGGTGGCAAATTCTTTTTAAATTACTATGTTGAACCTCATTGAAAAAAACTGATTACTCGTTCTTTAAAACTGAAATATTATAGCAGGATGGAACAATAATGCCCCTTTAATAAAGTATCACTAGCATTTAGGGTTGCTGCCATTCTCCCCTTTCAGGATTTGTTTTTTTCCCACAGAGAAGGAATTGAAAAGGTTAAGTCATAACTGTAAGAATCAGTTTGTAGGCTGCTGTATTTTTTTCACATTCAGTATGAAAGATGGCTTGACAACATATTTAGAATTTTCTGAGTTTTACTGTTAATAAAGTTAAAAGAAAATCTAGTATGATCAGGCAGTGGAGCCACATTAAATTTGTATGTGAAACACACATTGTACTTATCTCTACTGTAGATATTGCTCTGAAACCCATGTTCCACTTTCTGAATTCTCTGTATAAAGTTAAACATTGCAGAAGGGCATATATCTGATGATACAGATAAATAAGGTTGAAGTTTAGTAATGAGCAAGGTTGCTAAATTTAATATGTTCAAGTTTTTAGTATTTGTATTATTAATGCCTTTAGACTATTTTCTGGTAACTTATGAGACTACTGAAAACATTCATAGGTTTTTTTTTTTTTTAACTGTCAGTAATTTAAGACTACTGTTCTTACTGTAGTACTCTATTTTATCACACTAAAATGAATACTGAATTTCTTAAAATATTAATTGCTTGCAGGCAAAGTTGTTATCTATGCAACAAGCCAGAGAAACTGCAGTTCAACAGTACAAAAAACTGGAAGAGGAAATCCAGACCCTTCGAGTTTACTACAGGTAAAATTCTTTTCAGTCTGGGGTTAAGTAAATATTGTTAGTTTGGGAAATGTTTCTACCTGATTTTACAATAGTGAATAAGGAAATACCTCAATGAAATTAAATATTATGCACTTAAAGCATTTTTATAACTAAAAAAAGATTCAGGCTTACAATATTTCTTATTCTACCTCTTCTCTTTCCTATATTTGGTCAAGTTTAAATTTCCACTCTCATCATAACTATGAAATTTACATAATCCATTACCAGTTGTCTAAATGAAGCCTGGATAGCTGTTGAGCTATTTGTCCATCTAAATACCACCTCTAAAACAATTGTAAATGTAAAATATACATATATTTATATTTATACATATAAATGTAATATATATTTAAATATATATTTTTAAAACAACACATGCATAGCAATAATAATCTTTCATGTTTTTTAATATGACAGAGTTATTAATTTATGTTACAGGAGTATTCAAAACTACTCCTGTAACATTAATAAGGTAGGTATTTTTTAATGAAAATGAATAGAAATGTCAGAATGCATCTCTTATAGTAATGGTAAACTTTTGTTGCAGGTTTGTATGTGAGAAACAGAGAAAAGATTGTGTATTGGGTTATGTGTAAAACATATATTCTTACAGTGGATCATGGTAGAAAACATTGAAAAAACACACTGATGTACAATGCTATGTATATTCTTTCATTACTAAGTTTAAAAATATCCTCAAGTCTGAAATGTAGAAATTCACTAAGGGGGCTGTTAACTTTTTGAAAGATTTTTGTTTTAATTTGGACCTTTTCTGAGAATAAAGTTAAAATGCATAAAATGCAATTAAATCAAAATGTTTAATTGAAATATAGTTAAGAAAATATTGTGTCATGATATATCATGATATACATGCATCATTATTAATGGATAAAATAACTAGATCTAGCAGTAAGTCCATTAACAACTTTAATTTCAAGCCAGTGATGACTGTAAGTGGTATTTTTGGATAACTGCAAATGCTGAAATGTGACATGAAAATACCAGTGATTTCTATGGGTGCAAACTCTCAAGAACCACTGATAGTACTACTGCAATTTCTTGCTCATGTTCATAATTGTAGGAAATACTGTAGTTCCATGAGAGTTGGTGAAAATAAAGGTGTAATTCTTTCCCATCCCCAGGTTAAGCCCTCCTGCTTTGGAGCAATGTTAGTAACATCTGTAGTAGTTGGCTATTGTTTATGAGTTGAATTATGCCCCCCAAAAGGGTTATGCTGATGTCCTAACCCCTGCTATCTCAGAATGTGATTTTATTTTGAAATAGGGTTTGTACAGAGGTAATCAAGTTAAAATAAAGTCAGTAGGGTGGGCTCTAATCCACTACTACTGGTGTCCCTATAAAAAGGGGAAATTTTGGACACAGAGACAGACATGCACAGAGGGAAGACAATCTGAAGACACATGGGGAGAAGACTGCCATGTATCCACAAGCCAGGCAATTGCTGGCAAACACCAAACACTAGAAGAGGCAAGGAAGGACTCTCCTTTACAGTTGTCAGAAAGAACATAGCCCAGCTGACACCTGATTCCAGACTTCTGTAGTTTCCAGAACTATGTGACATTAAATATCTGTTGTTTTAACAGTACCACCCAGTTTGTGGTACTTTGTTATGGCTGTCCTTGGAAACAAATGCAGTTATCAAACATCAAGTATGTTTGGTTGGTCACTGACTGTTGGGAATCATTTGCTTTTGCAATTAGAATTAGTATCTATAAGTGGGCATACAGGTAAGCAAAACCCTGATGGTGAATGAATACGTACTACCAACCTACTTTATTTTGGACTATAAAATGAATATTACACTCTTTCGCCTGTCTTTTACACCAATGACTCTCAACTGTAGCTGCTATTAGAATAATCTGATGGTCTCTAAAAATTCTGACGCTTAGTCCACTGCATGCTGATTACATCAGTGTCTTTTTAAAGCTCTCTAGAAAATTCCTGTGTGCAGCCAAGTTTGAGAGCTGATGTTCTATATGCATATTTCAGTTAGCTCCATTAAATTAGGGTCTCTTATTGGTAAAGTAATAAAGAGGCAGATATTAAACCAGTTATTAACACATGAATACCATATGATTTGTGCCCTGACCATGGACATTGCAATGTGGTAAGTAGTAGATTCACCCTGTTGATGGAGAGGATTTTTATGGAACATTCTCCAGTAGCATTTATGGGACAGGACAGTGGGTGCTCTGTTGATGAAGTGACAGTGTCAGAGAATTCCGAGAGGTATATGATAATGTTACATGAACTAACATTAATTCCTAACAAGCAAACCTTGATGCCAGTTCCTGAAGCTCCTTCTCTGCCAAATTGTGAAAGATGATTGAATCATTTTTGAAAATCGTAAGGCTAAAATTCTTGTTTTTCAAATACTCTTTAAAATCTACATGAGTCTAGTAGGATTATATGATCTCTTCTAAGTAGAGGTTGGTAATTATTGGTTCAAAGATATGCTTCACAACTACTTTTCTCACTGCTACTTAAAAAATATTTCTGGTGATGTAATAAAGCCACTGGGATTTGCAATTAGACAGTCATGCCATGTGTGGTCATGTATAAATGAACCTCACCAAACTCCTTTCCTTTCTTTAAAATGAGAATAATAGTACCTACTTATAGGGTTGTTTTAAGTGTGTTCAGCTCTGAGCACAGTGTTTGGTTTATTGTTATTGATCAACCAGTGTTAAGATATATTTCTTTTTAAAACAAAAGATCAGTGAGGTATGAGTAGGACCAAAAAATATATCACTGAAACTAGAGAAGATTTCCCAAAGGAAAAAAGAGTCAAATATTACTCAGTGGTTAACTCTGATAAGGACCAAAGATATCCTTTACATTGGAAATTCAGTGGCCATTAGTGACTTCCACAGAGTAGTTTAGTCAGTAGAGTATTAGATATAGACATCAGTTTTCTGTGAATTGAAGAGTAATTAGGAGGTAAAGAAGCATAGCAATTTGGACAATAGAGCAGTCCTTGAAGAAACTTGAGTAAGAAAGGTGGTTGTGATAACTGAGAAGAGAGGAAACGTAGGTTAAGGATTTTTGTTTTTGAAAAATAGCAAATACTTGAGTATATTTATGGCTAATTTGAAGAAGCCAAAAGAAAGAATTCTTATAGAGCAGGATTCCAGAGGAAGTAGGAAGAGTTGGAATTTAGAGTATCTGCAGAAAAGTTCACCTTGAAAAAGAAGCTGGCCAAATTGTGATCAGAGACAGTAGTAAAGGAGTTAAGAATAGCTGTATTACTAAATTTGAGGCCACAATTAGTATTAGCCACACCCCCCACCCCCTGCATAAAGTAGGGGTCAGTGTTGGCTTCTGAACATGAGAGGTTGGGCAGATCACCTGAGGTCAGGAATTCGAGACCACCCTGGCCAACATGGCAAAACCCTGTCTCTACTAAAAATACAAAAAATTATCCAGGCGTAGGGGCGGATGCCTGTAATCCCAGCTACTCAGGAGGCTGAGGTAGGAGAATCGCTTGAACCTGGGAGGTGGAGGTTGCAGTGAGTCAAGATTGCACCATTGCACTCCAGCATGGGCAACAAGAGTGAAACTCTGTCAGAAAATATATATATATATATTTTATATACATATATATATGTATATACACACACACATATACACACACACACACAAATATATATATAATTCAAGAGCTGAAGAGACAGGAGATTGAAATCAGAAAGTGGAATGTTACTATTTAAGTGAAATGCTTAAATGAAGTGAAGCACTCAGTTCTGAGCATGATGCAAAAACAGATAAATCCTTCCTATTGAATGAAGAGTGGCATATCACTAGATATATCATAAGAAGAGACCTGCACAATGTGTGATGCATGGAAGAATGTTTGGTATCCACTCAAAAATGTAAGGGAAGTTGCATCTTCCAGGGAGATTCCATGTTTCCCCTAAAACAAAAAGATACAGAGGACTTTCCTGCTTTGCTGATGGGAATGTAAATTGATGCAGTCACTGTAGCACACAATTTAGTGGTCCCTCAAAGGTCAAACATAGAATTACCATATGATCTAGCAAGCCCACTCCTAGGTATATACTCAAAAGAATTGAAAGTAAGGACAAGCAGTTACTGTACACCAGTGTTTATGAAAGCATTGTTCATATTAACCAAAAGGTAGAAACCACCCAAGTGTCCCTCTGCAGATGAATAAAGAAAATGTGCTATATACAGAGAATGGAATATTATCTAACTATTCATTATTCAAAAACAAATGAAATTCTGCTATATGCTTTAACATGGACAAACCTAAAGACATTATGCTAAGTGAAATAAATCAGATAAGAAAGACAAAGATTGTATGATTCCACTTATATGAGGTACTTAAAATAGGCAAATTCACAGAGACAGAAAATAAAATAGAGGTTACCCGGAGTTGAAGAAAGGGAATAGGGAGTTATAAGAGTGGGGAATTACATGATGTACACAGAGTGGGATGATGAAAAGTTGTGGAAATGAATAATGGTGATAATTGTACAATATTGTCAGTGTACTTACTGCCAGTAAGTTGTACAGATAAAATGGTTAAAATAGTAAATTTTATGTTGTCATTTTACTACACATTTTTTAAAGGTACAGAGCACACTCTGTGAGGATATACAGAAATTTATTTTAAATGGGATCAGTAAAAGATTCCTGTAATGTACAACTCTAGGAAGGGGGAGGAAATTACCAAAAAACCAAGCTTAAGTTTCCTGCAAGCTGAAAGTCTATTTTAATTTGATTTAAATTAAAGTAAACAGTATTTCTTCCACACCTAGTAAATGATGCTTACTTATCTGTATGTCAAACACAACTAATTGATAGAGATATTAGGTTTCTCTACTAATTTTCTTATGTTATAGAAGAAATGAAAAGGTTCCTTTTTATGTGAAGGAACCTAAAACTAACTCCGTAATTTTCAGATAGATTAAATAGATAGATAGAACTCATAGATAACGGATTATGTCTGG